CTCCTGATGCCCAAAATGACCAAATTGTGATGAGAGCTTCTTTCACCCAATGTCATCCATAGCTTCCTGGTAGGACTGTTAAGGAGTGGGGAAATCAAAGCCAAAGCTGGCCTGACTAGGCAGAAAAGCTTGTTCTGTGACCGTGATGCGGGTGGCATGCATGGCCTGAGTTTGGGAAAGGGTGGGGCACAGCACCACTGAGTCAGCAGCTTTCGGGTCACTTCCTAAGACACCTACAATATATAAAGTTCCCAAGTACTAAGAGGGTGTCAGTGAGGATCACATCATCCTACCCTGTGCCACTCCCAGAAGCAGGAGGCACCAGACCCAGGAACTGTCACCGGACAGGACGTGCAGTTCAGCCCAGCACCAAGGCCCAGGTACCTCAGGCTCCTCAGGGCATCTCTGCTTCTGAGCCTCCTCTGCCAGCTGTCTGGGGGCTCCCTCCTCTTAGCCTTAAACCCGTGGTGACCCTCCTCTCCTCCTGACCCTCTCTCTGGGCCTACCCGATAGCTCTGGGGTCCCGCTGTGGTTTCCAGCCCTGGGCTTTCAGCCAGGAGCCCCAGTCCTGGGTCTCCTCCTACCTCCCGGGGCAGGTGTGGAGGGAGCCAGCACCTCCCTGGAGATGATAAGCTGCACCCCAGTGAGTGAAGATGGCTTCACGGGGGATTGTCCCCAAGTGCCTTTCAGTGAACATCTACCATTTGCTGCCAACTAGCCAGGTCTCCCACCCTGGCTGAGCCCTTTCCATACCCAATCCCATCCCACGTCACCAAATACCAGCAGCAGGGAATGGTTCCCAGCACCATTTTGCTATGTGGAGTCTTGTGTCCTTGTCCTGAGAACACGCAGGTGGGCGGTGGAGAGCCCAGGTTCACCCCGAGTCTAAGTGCACCGGAGCTGTCATTGGGATTTCCCCCAGGACACACTAGGTCAGTGGTTCTCAACCTTCCTAATGCCGTGATCCTTTAATACAGTTCCTCATGTTGTGGTGACCCCTAACCATAAAATTATTTTCATTGCTACTTCGTAACTGTAATTTTGCTACTGTTATGAATTGTCATATAAATATCTGATAGGCAGGATATATTTTCATTGTTACAAAGGGGTCACGACCAATAGGTTGAGAACCACTACACTAGGCAGAGCTCCATTAGGGGATACACAAGGGTGGGACAGGATGTCAGGCCGAGCTAGTATTTCCTGCTCAGGAGTCCTAGGGTGGCCACCAGGCCTGTGAGACAGACTGGGAGATGTCAGGGCAAAAGGAACCCAGGACCTGAGCAGGACATGGTGTCCTCTAGGGCAGAGGGCTGAGGGCTGGAGAAGGCCCAGAGTGAGGGACAGAGCCATGAGTCACCTGGGAGCTGGAGGAGGAGCTCCAGCAAGGGGGGAGGTATTGTGGTCACATCTTGGAAGTCCCTAAAGCAGCAAGATCTGTGGTCACTGATGTCAGAAGGTCGGACACCAGGGCTTCATATGGGGTTTGTCAACGAGGAAACACCACATGCCCAGGCAAGTTGGAATTTTAACACTAGTTATGGCAACTCATTTGGAACTTCACCAACCAAAAAATAGCTGGTAGCCTGTATTTTCTATTTTTTTTTTTTTTTTTGAGACAGAATCTCATTCTGTCGCCCTGAGTAGTGTGGGTCATAGTCAAATTCTTAGGCTCAGGTGATCCTCCTACTTCAGCCTCCCAAGAGCTGGAACTTCAGGCATTTGCCACAACACCTGGTTAGTTTTTCTTTTTTAGTAGAGATGGGGTCTTACTCCTACTCTGGCTGGTCTCAAACTCCTGTGCCTCCCAGAGTGACAGGATTACTTGGTGTGAGCCACAGTGCCCAACCTATATTTTCATTTTGTAACCGTGGCCGCCCTATTTAGGTGGAGGAGCAGAACAGGGACAGGGTAGTGGGGATAAAAGGAAGGAAAGGCAGACAGTGAGGCTGGACTGGGGACACTTCATCCACACAGGGAGGCCCTAAGGCCACAGCGTCCCTCTTGGGTGGGCATCATCCCCACTGGCCAGCTGAGCCAGGTTCCCGCTGCAGCAGCACCTGCCCCATTGGCAGTTCCCCCAGGGCACGTCTGGCTACATAGGCACCTCTTCCCAGCTCTATGAGGCTTTCTCCAGAAGACCTGCCTTTTCCTTTTGGATTCCTGCAGCTCTTTCCAATTCATCTCATCTTGGACCTGGAAACAAGTAACCTGACCTTTCCTGGCAGGGTTTGTCCCTGTGTGTAGGACTGAGACACTGGGGCAGGGAGGGTCCAGCTCCATGTGCTTCTCACGTCTACATGTAAGAGCCTGGAGTCTGAGGCTCAGCTCTGAGTTCCTGCAGGGGACATATTGGGCTGTGTGGGTTCTGGACCCCTCTTGGCTCTACTCAAGCCCAGAGCTTTGCCCACAGTGCGAGCATGAGGTGTGTTTGTTGACTTAAAAGCCAAGAGGGGTGAATGTGAAGACCTGGGAACCATGTGCCTGGCTTCCCCCTGGGCTCTCAATACCAGTGGGACAATAGCCAGGGTGTGGCTGGTGCTACTGAGCACTCAGTCTGTCGGGGGACTGTCCTCAGTGCTCCTCAGACTGTCACATCTACTCATACAACATAGGCAAGAAGATTGGATCAAGGCAAGAGGTCTCCTGGAACATTAACCAACACGAGGACTCTAAAAGTGACACATACCACAAAGGACACAAATACCTCTGAATACAAATCCAAAGAAGGCAGAGGCGCTACATCCAAAGTAAAGGACTTGGCTCGGCGCCTGTGGCTCAAGCGGCTAAGGCGCCAGCCACATACACCTAAGGTGGCAGGTTCGAATCCCCAGCCCGGGCCCGCCAAACAACAATGACGGCTGCAACCAAAAAATGGCCGGGCGTTGTGGTGGGCGCCTGTAGTCCCAGCTACTTGGGAGGCTGAGGCAGGAGACTCGCTTGAGCCCAGGAGTTGGAGGTTGCTGTGAGCATGATGCCATGGCACTCTACCCAGGGGGATAGCTTGAGGCTCCGTCTCAAAAAAAAAAAAAAAAAAAAAAAGTAAAGGACTTAGGGAAGGAGGGATCATTTTCAAAGCGAAGGCCATAGTTCAAGGAACAACATGGGGAAATTCTCAGGGATGATGAAAACGGAAACCTTCAACATTAAAAGGCCAGGGCGAGGCAAACAGAAGACTGGAACGTCGGACGGAATCCCTGACATTGCAGGTGACTGACCGGGTGTCCTCTAGAGGAGCAGCTTCCTGTGGTCCCCTCATCAGTGCACATGGATGTGCGGCTTTGTGCCGGTTCAGCACAGTGACGATTTTTAAAGATCACAGAGGAACACAGAACCTCTGAGCACGAGGGTGAGGTGGCATTTCTAGGCAGCTGCCAGGATGCTGGAAGACAGCAGAGCCCCGCACCCCCTTCTCAGGGAGCTTTGCCGGGTGACAAGTCCACAGCAGGCTCTGGAAGGGCAAGTGCAGCAGGGGACGCGTCTGGGCACGGGGCCCTTACCTCAGGATTGTTCCCACACTCTTGCTGAGGACACAGTCCAATAGATAGGGCGGACTCTCACAGGGAAGGTGCTGGGTATCCAGGGAACCAGGGCCGCACCCTGGGGTGATTAAGGGACAGCCCTGGGTGACAGCTGTCAGCTGGCCTGGTCAGCCTCCCTGCAGAGGCAGGAGGGTGCCAGTGGGCAGGGTTTGTAGGGAGGAAAGGAGTATTCAGTGATCAAAGAGGTGACTGCCACTGGGAAAACAGAGGCAACAAGGAAGTAAACAAGAAAGGACAGGCTAGAGACACATCACTGTGACCAAGACCTGGCATCTGTGCCTGCTTGTGGCCACAACAGAGCTTCCATTCCCTCAGGGGACCCACAATCTGCCTGACCACAGACATCGCTGGACACTCAGAACTGTCATCTGTCATCCAGGTGCCCACCAAGGACAAGGGAGGGTTGGGATCAGGTTCAGCCATCTGACCCCTGCCTTGAAGGGAGTAATGGACAGGGAGAAAACTTCTAGAGAGCTCTTTCCTCAGGGCTAAAGCCTGGAAGGATGGTCCTTGGTTTCTCCTCCCAGGGTCTCTGGAGCAACAGGCCTCTTGTTCTTTGCACAGCTTTGCTGTCCGGCTCTTCCTGCAACCCCATGAGCACCTGTTTCCACACAGTCCAGTGTCTGTCTGGTCAGCTGCGCTGTTTCTTTGCTTCCACCCAAAGATCTCTGCAGAGAAGCATGAGACACAGGCACAGGGAAGGGTCTGTGCTGCTCCAAGTGGGATGCAGGTGAACCTGGGGCCGCGTGCTGCCTGCTCGCAGGACCGCAAAAGGGCACTAGGAAGAGTTCTCTTCCAGATGCAAAAGTGTCATCCCACAATTGCCCTTGGCCCTCCAGGAAAGGAAGGGTCATCTCTACTTGACTGTAGTAAGGAAAGGAGCTTTGCAGACCTTCGGGTTTAAACTGTAGGAAGTAACAGGTATTTAGGCAACAGAGCACTTGTCATTTTTCATCAGTGTGACAATGGAAGGCTAAAGGTTCAGAGTGGAGTTTTCCTGCCTTTCTTTTTCCTCTCCTTTCCCTGATGGACTCACTCAGGAGTGTCCTGCCCTGAGGCAGATGTGTCTTGAGTCAACCCTACAGACAGGAGGAGAAGCCCCAGTGACTCCACCTTGAGCTGGCAGAGCCGGGACAGGGCATATGGAGAGGCCAGGGGACCAGGCACAGCCCTGCCCGGGGGGGGAGGGGCAGGACCTCCCCAGAACATGTCAGCTCACTGCCCTGATCCTGGTGAGACCCTGACAAGACCAAGGGTGCCCCCCGGGCTGTGCTGTCTCTGCAGTGAGGCTGTAGGGGTCCGAGAGGGAGGGTTGGAGGCTGCGGCAAGTGAGTGGAAGCTTTTCTAACAGGTGCCCTAGGATGTGGGGAACCGCAGAGGGATGTAGGGTGCAAAGTGAGTGATGTGGGTGGTCCCAGGAGGAGTCTTCTGTCCATGAGCATTCCCCACTCTTGTCCACAGACACCTGATGGATCCAGACACATTCATGTACAACTTCACAAACGACCCTTCAGTCCTTGGGCAGCACCAGACCTACCTGTGTCACAAGGTGGAGCTCCTGGATGGTGACTCCTGGGTCCCTCAGAACCAGTACAAGGGCTTCCTGCAAAACAAGGCAAGCAGCCCAGCCACCCACATCCAGACAGGGCCTCTCCAGTCCAGGGACATTTATTCCTAGAAGCTTCTTGGGTATGCATCTGATGCCCCCAGAGTTTCTGTTAACTATGCTTTCCACAGCCTCTGCTGATCGGCCCTAAAATGAGGTAGGTGGCTTTGGCTTCAAGTGATTCTCCATGGTAGGTGGCTTCAAGCCACATATCATTAACTAGCCACTTGTTCCAGGGCCTACTACCATGAACTCAATGTTATCCATAGGTCTAAGGCTCAGCCACTCCCTCCTGCTATGATCTGAGGGTGTAAGGCAGAGGTAAGGGTCTGTCCCAGGGCCCGTTGGTGTCAGATTGGCCTAACACTCACATGGCTTCTCAGGACCCTGCCCAGGACCCCTCATAGCAGCACCTCTCACGGGAACATCTATAGAAGGTTCCATTTGAGGACTCAAGCCAACCTGACTTCATAGGCAAAGGTTCTCAGTGTTTGCTCCTGGTCTACTTCTGGCGAAGAGAGACAGAGGTGGAACAGGGGGCAGGAGAGGCCATCCTGAGAGTCTGGCCTAGAAACAGGCTCTGTCAGGGTGCCAGGGAGGCCAAGCCTCAGGGGAAGAGCAGGGACTGACCAAGTCACATCCCACCCACTGTCTTCTCCGCTCTGGTGTCTTTAGCATGACTAGCTCCCAGTGTGTTGTTGAATGTCCTTCACTCTGCAGTTTGGGCAAATTTCCTTAATTCTATGGGCAATAATATTGACAACCACCCCATGATCCAAGGACTCTGGGGTGCGTCCTGCCTGAGCCTGTTGTTCCTCTCACTTGTGCACAGGGAGCCCTTTTGGTTTGTTTCTATATCTCTCTTGGGCCCAGCACAGGATGAGTCACAGAGTAGAAGCTTCTAGAATGATTGCTGCAGATATGTAGGCAGGAATAGAGAGATAACGGGTCATTACCCCATGAAAGAGGTAATGGGCATCAGGCCAATGACCTTGGGGTTCTTCCCTCCACCCCGCTCTGCAGCTCCTCCCTGCACAGCAGGGCCTGGGTGAGGGTCCCCCTAAGGCTCTGATCTCAGGTGCAATGTTTGAGGGTGCTCCAGAAAGTCAGGTATTAGAGAAATCACATCTTCATGTGAGAATGAAATTTTTAATGTGTTACTTAATATCATTTTTTTTGTGTGTGTGAGACAGTGTCTCAAGTTGTCGCCCTGGGTAGAGTGCTGTTGCATCACAGCTCACAGCAACCTCATACTCTTCGGCTTAAACGATTCTCTTGCCTCCACCTCCCAAGTGGCTAGGACCACAGGGGCCCGCCACAACGCCTGGCTACTTTTTGGTTGCAGCTATCATTTTTGTTTTGGTGGCCCTGGCTTGGATTGAAACCTGCCAGCTCTGGTGTATGTGGTTGGCATCCTAGCCACTTGAGCTACAGGCGCTGAGCCACTTAATATCAAATTTAGTGACAAACTTCATGA